AGTTCTCCTCGTCCATGCCAACCAGATATCCCACATAAATCTAGTCCCATTTGCCTGCACGTATCCCTGTAAACCTTCCTATTCATGTACCCATTCAGATGCATTTTAAATGTTGTAATTGTACCAGCCTCCACCACTTCCTCTGGCAGCTCATTCCATACACACGTCTCCCTCTGCATGAAAAAGTTGCCCCTTAGGACCCTTTTAAATCTTTCCTCTCTCACCTTAAACCTATGCTCTCTAGTTTTGGGCTCCCCCATCCTGTGGAAAAGACCTTGGCTGTTCACCCTATCCATGCCCCTCATGATTTTATAAATTTCTATAAGGTCACCCGGTAGCCTCCGACCCTCCAGGGAAAATAGCCCCAGCCTATTCAGCCTCTTCTTATAGTTCAAACCCTTCGACCCTGGCAACATCCTTGTAAATTTTTTCCTGAACTCTTTCAACAGATAGATACACAGACTGACACATAGAAAAGTGGATAGGATGTATTATTACCCCCTGCTACCCCACTTTAATTTAGTTCCCTCCCTCTTTCCCTCCCCTCCCCTGTATTTGATATCGTTGCACAGCTCCTGATGGGTAACAATTGGTGACTATTCTTTTAATTAATAATACTGGTGATCTAGTGGTGGTAAAAATGAGTCGTTTTCATTCATAACATAATTATGTGTATTGAAGCATAAAATATGCATAGAATGCACAGTTATGAACTTTTCAGAGCACAAATAATTACGTACAATGCAAATGCAGGTCCCTTCAATAAAAACGAAAGGTCTACCATTTTGTATATTCTCTACCAAAGTCCGTGGATCACATATTGTAAGCTTGAAATAATTCAGTTAATCATTTACATTCAATGTGAGTTTTGTATAGCCGGAAGTTGAGTTGTCTCCCAGTTGTTCATTCTGTATCTTATTGACAGAAGGTTAACTTAATTTTCTCCTATGTTCTTTTCTGCTTTTCACTAAGGGAATACATAATCAGTTCCTTTTCCTTCATTCTTTCATGAGATTTGGACAAAGCCAGCAATTTTTTGCCCATCTCCCATTGCCCCTTGAACTGAACAGCTTGCTCAGCTGTTTCAAAAGCTAGCTTAAGAATGACCCTTTGCCATGCGTCTGGAGTCACATGTAGGCCGAACCAGATAAGGTTAGCAGACCTCCTTCCCTAAAGGGCACGAGAGAACCAGATGAATTTTTAACAACAATCAATGATAATTTTACAGTCACTGTGACTGCCTTTCGATTCGAATTTCACACAGTGGCATTTGAACCCATGTTCCCAGAGCTTTAACCTGAGCGTCTGGTTCACTAGTACACTGACATTACCACAATGCCACCATCTCAGTTTAAGGGCACTTCAAAGGATGGTGATCAATTGCTGGCCTTGTCATGAAAGAATATTTTTTAAAAATCAATTTTCACACAGTTATCTCATACAAACAGCAATGTGATCAATGCGACCTTAGTACAGCCTACTATCTCTTAGGACAGCTTTCATCTTTGTGCCCAAATATTTGGAATAAAACAAAATCAACCCGCAATTTTCTGACTCCGAACTGAGACTACTATGGACTGAGTCTCGGCGAACAGCTACCTTTGTTACTGAAAGTGCTTCTTCCCACTTGGTAATCCTGTACGGGGTTACTGAACATTGTCTGAAAAAGGTTCTGTGAAATGGCTTTCTAGAAGAGTTATGTAATACGTCCTGTTGCTCAAGAAAGTTCAGTACATTTCAAACACACTTTACACGATTACTTTTCACCCTTTCTGAGACTTGCGTCATTCATTTCTAAATAACCGTCAGGGGATTTCTGAAGAAGGGTCTACGCCCGAAACGTCAGCTTTCCTGCTCCTCTGATGCTGCTTGGCCTGCTGTGTTCATCCAGCTCTACACCTTGTTATCTCAAATAGCAGTTGGTGTTACTTTTGGTTCTATCGCACTCCAGTGGTGGAATATAAACTCGCACCCTGAACTGTGGAAAGTAGTTTAGGTGCAAAACGACCTGCAATTTCTCATGACTGGCAAATTAGAAAGGAAGGACTTGCATTTCTATAGCACCATTTCTCAGCACGCCTCACAGCCAATTAAGCGCTTTTAAAGTCTAGTCACTATTGCAATTTGTGAGCTGTGCCTCAGTCATGTGACACTCTCAGCTCTGAGGCAGAAACCCATGGGTTCAAGACCCGCTCCAGAGCGATAATCTTCGCTGACACAATAGTGTTGTCCTGGGGGAGGTTTGCACTATCAGCGAGGCCACCTTTTGGATGAGACTTGAAACGAAGGCTCCTCTTAGTTGGATACAAAAGATCCCATGCCATTGTTTTGAAGAAGAGTAGAGGAATTCCCCCTGGTGTCCCAGTCAATTTTTATCTTTTAAACCATGAGATCTGGAGCAGGTGTTGAGTAGTGGTAATGACACTGGGCTAGCAATCCAGGACCCAAGGCTGATTAATGTTCTGGGTCATGGATTCAAATCCCACTCTGGTTATATGGTGAAATTTTTATCCTGTAAAGTCTGGAATAAAGAGCCGGCCACATGATGATCGTGTGACCACTATCAATTGTTGTAAAGACCCATCTGGTTCATTAATGCACCTTTAGGTTTGTAACGCAGAGTGATGCCAACAGTCAGCAAAACTAAAGCGCTAACCATCAACTTCAGGAAGCAAGGAGGAGGTCATGCCCCTATCTACATCAACAGAGCTGAGGTGGAGATGGTTGAGAGCATCAAGTTCCTAGGAGTGACCATCACTAACAATCTGTTCTGGTCCACCCATGTTGATGCGATGGTCAAGAAAGCACAACAATGCCTCTTCCTCCTCAGGAGGATAAGGAATTCAGCATGCCCTCACCAACCTTTACAGATGTGCCACAGAAAGCATTTTATCTGGGTGCATAATGGCTTGGTATAGCAACTGCTCTGCCCAGGACCATAAGAAACTACAGAAAGTTGTGAACACAGACCAGACCATCACGCAAGCCAACCTTCTATCCATGAACTCCACCTACACTTCTTGTTGCTGCGGAAAGGCAGCCAATATCATCAAAAACCCCTCCCACCCAATTATAGTCTCTTCCAACCTCTTCCATTGGGCAGAAGATACAAAAGCTTAAACACACAGACCAACAGGTTCAAGAACAGCTTCTTTCCCAATTTTTATTAGACTTCCAAATGGACCTCAAATTTCAAATCTAATTCTGGTCTATGCAAATCTAACTCAAATACATTTCTGAGGAAGGGTCACGGGACCTGAAACATTAACTCTGATTTTTTTCTTCACAGATGCTGCCAGACCTGCTGAGCTTTTCCAGCAACTTCTGTTTTTGTTCAAATCTAATGTTGATCTTGCTTTTTGTTCGCCTTCTCTGCAGCCATAACTTTGAATCCCTCATTCTGCTCAATCACCTTATCATCTTGGTATGGTGTGATCTGCCTTTACTGCACCCAAAACAAAACTTTTCACTGCACTTAGGTACACGTGACAATAGTAATTCAAATCAACAGCGAGGGTTCAATTCCTGCTCTGGCTGAGGTTACCACGAAGATAACTGGACTAGAAGCAACTAACTTTTTTTAAGAGATAGCAGGAACTGCCGATGCTGGAGAATCTGAGATAACAAAGTGTAGAGCTGGATGAACACAGCAGGCCAAGCAGTATCAGAGGAGCAGCTTTATTTTTAAATCTCTCTACAGATGCTGCCAGACCTGCTGCCTTTCTCCAGCCTTCTGTGTTTTAGTTTGATCAGGAATGGGTGTTGCCTGACCAGCAAAGAATGGAGGTGGGCATTAGAAGTGGGTGTGAGTTCCGGGTGGGTGGGTGTTTGTGTGTGTTGGGGGTGGGGGTGCGTGGCTCTCAGTGGAAGACAACCCTGTTTTGGGCTGGTTATTTGAAGGCTGGGAAATGGGGAATGACCTGTCAGCACTTCTCAACAGTTGGTGAGCTCAGGGGAACTTCCTGAAATAACAGGCAGAGGGAAGTGAAGTTTTACTCGGTGCCCCAGAGGAGTCGGAAGGGAGGGGGGTGTAGTGTCAAAACTGATCGTTCAGCTGCTATTCCACCGTGAGAGGCACCCCATTCGACCGGAGCCCCCTCCGGATCATGGAGACGAGGAGTCTACTTTTACTGCTGCTCTGGACACTTCCCCAATCCGGCACGGTGCAAGGGGAAGTGGTCCGGGATTTTAAGGAATGCGTCTGGTTCTTCCAGAACAAGACAACCCCAAAGGGTTTCCCTATGCGGGGCCGGCTCAGAATCTGCCAGCGGTATAAGAATCATTACCACTATGCCACTCTGTACAACAGCGGGCTGCGGATCCCAGTCTACTCCGCCTACAGATACCCCTGCACTATGGGCCAGAGTGCAGGCTACAGACCCACACCCTGGTTTTACGAACCGCAGGTAAAAGAGCTCCGAGGATCGTCAATGTCCACTGTTCTGGCAATAAGGGGGAAGCATAAGGACATAAAAGTTTAGCTGCGTCATTTTTTTTTGTGTCTGCTTGTTGCTCCCAAAATAATGTAACAGGAGCTCAGTTCCTAGCTCTGAGCCAAGACTGCAGCCAAACATTCCAACCTGTATATATGGACAGGCTGAGAGAACAATTTCCTGAGTCTACATTAAGATTTCATGTCCGGCTGCTGGCAAGGCCACACTTGGAGCACTGTGTACAGTCTTGGTCTCCTTACTTGAGAAAGGATGTACTGGCACTGGAGGGGGTGCAGATGAAGTTCACTAAGTTGATTCCAGAGATGAGGGGGTTGGTTTATGAGGAGAGATTGAGTAGACTAGGACTATACTAGTTGGAATTTAGAAGAACGAGGGAAGATCTTGTAGAAACATACAAAATTATGAAGGGAATAGATAAAAAAAAAGCAGGGAGGTTGTTTGCACTGAAACTAGAACTAGATGGCAAAACCGAAAAATAAAAGGGAGCAGATTTCTTCACCTAAAGGGTTATGAATCTATGGAATTCCCTGCCCAGTTAAGCAGTTTAAGTTACCTTATTGAATGTTTTTAAGGCAAAGGCAGGTTTTTGAACAGTAAAGGAATTAAGGGTTATAATGAACAGGTGGGTAAGTGGAGCTGAGTCCGCGAAAAGATCAGCCATGATCTTATTGAATGGCGGAGCAGGCTCGCGGGGCCAGATGGCCTACCCCTGCTCCTATTTCTTATGCTCCTATGAATATTTTTTCTTCTCTTCACCCCTTCCATTGGAGGCTGTTCCCTCAACGACACTGGCCCTAGATTCTAATTTTTCCCCTGAATCTCCCCACCCCTTCCTTTAAAATAACCCTTAATACCCCTGCACCCTTAATGTGCCTGGATGCTTAATACCTCTGCTAGACCACCTGGTGTACGCTTCAGGTCATAGTTTAAAAATAAAGAGTCATCCATGTAAAACAGATGAGGAAATATATTTGATATAACATAGTGTAGAGCTGGATGAACACAGCAGGTCAAGCAGCATCAGAGGAGCAGGAAAGCTGACGTTTCAGGTCTAGACCCTTCTTCAGAAATGGGGGAGGGGAAGGGGATTCTGAACTAAATAGGGAGAGAGGGGGAGGCGGATAGAAGATGGATGAAGGAGAAGATAGGTGGAGAGGAGACAGACAGGTCAAAGAGGCGGGGTTGGAGCCAGTAAAGGTGAGTTTAGGTGGGGAGTTAGGGAGGGGATAGGTCGGTCCAGGGATGACAGACAGGTCAAGGAGGAGGGATAAGGTTGGTAGGTAGGAGATGGAGGTGGGGCTTGAGGTGGGAGGAGTGGATAGGTGGGAGGAAGGACAAGTTAGGGAGGCGGGAATGAGCTGGGCTGGTTTTGGGATGCGGTCGGGGGAGGGGAGATTTTGAAGCTTGTGAAGTCCACATTCATACCATTGGGCTGCAGGGCTCCCAAGCGAAATATGAGATGCTGTTCCTGCAAGCTTCGGGTGGCATCGTTGTGACACTGCAGGGGCCCAGGATGGACATGTCGTCCAAGGAGTGGGAGGGGGAGTTGAAATGGTTTGCGACTGAGAGGTGCAGATGTTTGTCACGAACCGAGCGTAGGTGTTCCACAAAGCAGTCCCCGAGCCTCCACTTGGTTTCCCCGATGTAGAGGGGGCCACATTTGGAACAGCGGATGCAGTATACCACATTGGCAGATGTGCAGGTGAACATCTGTTTGATGTGGAAGGTCTTCTGGGGGCCTGGGATGGGGGTGAGAGGGGAGGTGTTGGGGCAGATGTAGCACTTCCTGCGGTTGCAGGGAAAAGTGCCAGGTGTGGTGGGGCTGGTGGGGAGTGTGGAGCGGAAAAGGGAGTCACAGAGAGAGTGGTCCCTCCGGAAAGCAGATAAGGGTGGGGAGGGAAAAATGTCTTTGGTAGTGGGGTCAGATTGCAGATGGCGGAAGTGTCGGAGGATGATGCGTTGGATCCGGAGGTTGGTGAAGTGATATGTGAGGATGACGGGGATTCTGTTTTGGTTGTTATTGCGGGGAGCGCGGTCCTTGAAAAAGGAGGACATCTGGGATGTCGGGAGTGGAATGCCTGATCGTGGGAGCAGGTGCGGCGGAGGCGGAGGAATTGGGAATAGGGGATGGCATTTTTGCAGGAAGGTGGGTCAGAGGAGGTGTATTCTAGGTAGCTGTGGGAGTCGGTAGGCTTGAAATGGATATCGGTTTCCAGGTGGTTTCTCATCATATCGGTTTCTCATCCCGCCTCCTTGACCTGTCCGTCCTCCCTGGACTGACCTATCCCCTCCCTAACTCCCCACCTAAACTCACCTTTACTGGCTCCAACCCCGCCTCTTTGACCTGTCTGTCTCCTCTCCGCCTATCTTCTCCTCTATCCATCTTCTATCCGCCTCCCCCTCTCTCCCTATTTATTTCAGAATCCCCTTCCCCTCCTCCATTTCTGAAGCAGGGTCTAGACCCGAAACGTCAGCCTTCCTGCTCCTCTGATGTGTTCATCCAGCTCTACACCTCGTTACATCAGATTCTCCAGCATCAGCAGTTCAAACTATCTCAGGAAATATATTTTATTCTTAGAGGGTGTGAGTCTTTGAAATTCCCCTCCTCAAAAAACAGTAGATGCAGAATCATTAATTTTTTTTAAGGCAGTGATCGATAGATTCTTGGTTACTAAGGCAATGAAAGATTATTGGGGATATGCAGGAATGTAGAGTTGAGGTTGATATCAGATCAGCCATGATCTTATTGAGCAGTGGAGCAGGCTCAAAGGGGCGAGTGACCTGCTCTTGTTCCTTGACAACAAGGTGCAGGGCTGGATGAACACAGCAGACCAAGCAGCATCATAGGAGCAGAGGAAGTGCTACACCTGCCCCCATACCTCCTCCCTCACCCTCATCCCAGGCCCCAAGAAGACTTTCCACATCAAGCAGATGTTCACCTGCACATCTGCCAATGTGGTATACTGCATCCGCTGTACCCGGTGTGGCTTCCTCTACATCGGGGAAACCAAGTGGAGACTCGGGGACTGCTTTGCAGAACACCTACGCTCGGTTCGCAATAAACAACTGCACCTCCCAGTCGCGAACCATTTCAACTCCCCCTCCCATTCCTCAGACGACATGTCCATCCTGGGCCTCCTACAGTGCCACAATGATGCCACCCGAAGGTTGCAGGAACAGCAACTCATATTCCGCTTGGGAACCCTGTAGCCCAATGGTATCAAGGTGGATTTCACAAGTTTCAAAATCTCCCCTCCCCCTACCGCATCCCAAAACCAGTCCAGCTCGTCCCTGCCTCCCTAACCTGTTCTTCCTCCCACCTATCCCCTCCTCCCACCTCAAGCCGCACCCCCATCTCCTACCGACTAACCTCATCCCACCCCCTTGACCTGTCCGTCCTCCCTGGACTGACCTATCTCCTCCCACCTCCCCACCTACACTCACCTCTACTGGCCCCATCCCCGCCTCTTCGACCTGTCTGTTTCCTCTCCACCTATCTTCTCCTCTATCCATCTTCTATCCGCCTCCCCCTCTCTCCCTATTTATTTCAGAATCCCTTTCCCCTCCCCCATTTCTGATGAAGGGTCTAGGCCCGAAATGTCAGCCTTCCTGCTCCTATGATGCTGCTTGGCCTGCTGTGTTCATCCAGCCCTGCACCTTGTTGTGTCGGATTCACCAGCATCTGCAGTTCCTACTATCTCTGCTCTTGTTCCTTGTTTGTATATTCATATCCTTACTTGGCTTGCTGTCAAACTGTTGGTTGTTAGGTCTCCATACTTCAGCTGGCACTTTGCAAATGCTGGTTGTTTTTGTGGGGGAAGTGGAGGTGTTGTCTGCCTGGTGCAGTGGGGTGAGATAGTAGCAGGGAATCCCAAACCACCATCCATGTTTGTCTGCTCTGAGACAGAGGGGCGTGAACAGCATGGGCCATGGCAAGAAACCTGGAAAAATCAAATGGGGCCAATCCTGACATTGAGACTGCAGAATCACAGAATTGTTGTAGTGCGGAAGAGGCCCATTTGGCCCATCATACCGGTTCTATTAACTAGTGCCAATCTCCTACCTGTTCCCCCAAATCTCTCCACACCATATCCCTGTAGTGGGGAGTAGTGATAGCCTAGTGGTATTCCTGTTAGACTATTAATGTAGAGATCCAGGTAATATTCTGGATTACCTCATTTTGAATCTTGCCAGGGCAGATGGAAGAATTTGAATTCAATAAAAATCTGGAATAAAGAGTTTTAATGATGACCATAAAACTGTCACCAATTATTGGAAAGATGCAGTTGATTCACTAACGTCCCTTGAGGAGGGATATCTGCCATCCTTACCTGGTCTGCCACAGCAATATGGTTGACCCTTAACTGCCCTGTGGGCAATTAGGGATGGGCAAGAAATGCTGCCCTAGCCAGTGATGCCCACATCTTATGAATAGAACAAAATTACTATCAAATAATCATCTTGAGAGCAACATGTTGCATTTTCATACATCATGATGAGATTTTTGTTGGGAAGCTGTAAGTTGCCTATTAATGTGGCTTGCTAATTGAATCCCTCTCCCCAATTAAAATGCTGCTTCCTATCCTACTGAACACCAGTTGGCTCAGACATGACTAGTCAGCCACTTGGTTATTATCCCCTTGTCATATTGGGAAGGGTGAAGCTGGACTGTAGAATCCCTATACTATGCAAGCAGGCCATTCAGCGAATACCAGCTGTCAGAAGAGCATCCCACCCAGATCCACCTCCCTCCCCTATATCCCTGTATCCTCATGTTTCCCCAAAGCTAATCCACCTAGCCTACACATCTTTGGGCTGTGGGAGGAAACCCACCCAGACACAGGGAGAATGTACAACTCCACACAGTCACCTAAGGTTGCAATTGAACCTGGGTCCTTGGTGCTGTAAGGCAGCAATGCTAACCGCTGAGCCACTGTGCATCCCACCATCCTTCTTGGCTGTTTGTGCCCTGTTGAGGCCCACTTTCTCCTGGAATTAGGGAGGCATTAAGGCAGAGGGAAGTGGCTGACACTGCAGCTACTGCTGGTGCAGCAGGGGAAAAATGGTGCAGAGTTGTGAGTAAGTGAGTAAGCATTACAGAGGAGGGTGGAGGATTAGTGGAATGGGGAAACTGAGTGTGTGAGAGCAAGTAAGAGAAGTTTGTGTGTGCAATAGTGAGAGGACGAGCCTTGGTGAAAGGTAGGTGCAGTAGCAGTGATAGACGGTGAGAATGCAGGGAAAATAGTGGCGCTTACTCTGGCACAGCAGAGACAGTCATTGACCTTCCCCTTACACTGCTGGACATTCCTCCAGACAGCTGAGACCACACTGACAGGGTGGCAAACTTGGACTAGATTGGCAGGGCCTGGTGCCATTGTCTTCTTTGGCGGTCCCTGGGGAAGAGGATGTTCTTCATCTACACACCACCCCATCCACCAGGACCTCCAGGTTCCTATCTGCAAAGTGGTACACCAAATGCCCCTCATCCGTCACATCTGGGGGAAATGTCATGAGCCATTCAGGGCAGTCCTGGACTGACAGTGCTTGTCCAGGTGCACAGTGGGCTTTTAAACTCAGCACAGTCAGGGATCTCGGGTTACCCTGGGATATCTGGGCAGAGGCGAGTTCTTCCGCCTGTGGCGAGTGGAAGAATTGGGCTAGCATCAGCGAGGTGTGTACCGTAGGGTTAAGGTAGTTTGTTGAAGAAGTGGGTTTGGTAGAATAGAGTAAGAAAACCTGCTGGGGCTCACAGAGAGAAACCATTGTGAAACTCAATGAAAACAACACAATGACAAAATAAGAGAAGATTCAGTCAGGAGTCAGGATTCACATCTCGACAGTCACTTTATCCTGACACTAAACATACAATGTGGTCCTTTTTTCAATTGTTTAAGGGATTTGAGTATAGTGTAGAGTTAAGTGTTACTGTATGATATGTTACAAAGACACAGTATGCATTATTTCAATGTCACATGAACTTCCTGGCTCTTGCAACCTTGTCAGATGAAACCACAATGAGATGTTTCTTAAATATAATATTTTCTTTACCTCTGCAACCTGTAAATATTCTTTAGCAGCACAATGAGACCAAAATTATTAGCGTGAGCATTGCTGATAAGGCTTGGATTTATTGACCAGTCCAAACAGCCCTTGGGAAGCTGCTGGTGAGTTGCTTTCTTGAACCCCACTGCAGTCTATTGGCTGTAGGTTGAAACACAATGATGTTTGCAAGGGAGTTCCAAGATTTTGACTCAGCAGCACTGAAGGAACAGCGATATATTTCCAAGTCGGGATGGTGTGTGTCTTGATGGGGAAATTGCAAGTGGTGGTGTCCCCAAGTATCTGCTGCCCTTGTCCTTCTAGATAATAGAGGTTGTGGGTTTGGGAAATGCTGTTGAATATTTTGTTCTAAAGCTGAAATCTCAGTCTGAGTTACAAGTACTATTAGATGTTCCTTGAACGGAGAGGGCAATCTGAAGGGATCATTTGATGAGTTTGCATCCTTGGAACAGAGACTTGCCTAGCAATTAGACTTACCAGGAACTGAGTACAATTGACCAGGTATTTGGAACAGAAGTTATGAATGCAGAACATATTAATTTCCTGAAAAGCATTCCCAACAAATGAGAAAGTATGCAAAGCCACAGCCTGAGATTGAATGGATGGAATGGTGGCTCAGTGGTTAGCACTGCTGCCTCACAGCGCTAGGGACCTGAGTTTGATTCTAGCCATGGGTGACTGCGTGGAGTTTGCACATCCTCCCTGTTTGTGTATGGGGTTTCCTCCCACAGTCTAAAGATGTGCAGTTTGGGTAAATTGTCCATCGTGTCCAGGGATGTGTAGGGTAGGTGGGTTAGCCATGGGAAATGCAGAGATTGTGTGGGATGCTCTTTGGAGGGTTGGTATGGACTGAATGGCTACTTCTACATTGTAGGGATTGGATGAAAAAAAAAAATTCTAAGCTGTTCCACCACTAGCTTTTAAGGATGATGCTCACGATGATCATATCCTGAAAATGCAAATAAAATAATACATTGGCAATGTGTGAACTGGAGCTGTGGCTATTAATTTGGCAAAGGGATAGGCCATCTGGCCCTGCACCATTCTATTAGGTCAACCTTTTCTGTTTATTTCATTATATTCTTTTATGGAATATGGATGTCACTGGCAAGGTCAGCATTGATTGCCTTGTCTCCAATTGCCCTTGAGAGCAGTTCAGAGTCAGCTAAGTTGTTGCCTGCCCAGCTGCATTGATTCCTAGGAATTCAGATCACAGTGTACGTACCGTAAAGTTTTCATTTTGCTAACATGTTGATTTGCATTCATTACAGATTGATGATCAAAATGCCCCAGGCACGATAAGAAGCAGCAGCGCAAGTTTCAGTCAGAATCAGGCAGTGGATGAAGATTACCAGGACTCCGGCTACGACAGGGGTCACCTCTACCCATTTGCACTGAATGAGAAGGAGAGTGCCACAGCCACCTGTACCCTCACCAACGCAGTCCCCGAGGAGCACACAGCCAATGTTAACTGGTACCAGGAAGCAGAATCCATTGTCGAGAAGTTGGCACGGATATGCCACAAGTCTGGCCGGTCGATGTATCTCATTACAGGTGCTGCCAACCCCACAAAGACCAAAATGAAAAACCGGGTCTCGGTCCCCGGCCTGGTCTGGACAGCTCTTTGCTGCACCTACCCAAGGGACCAGAATAATGATCCCTGTCTCAACAGCAATGCAGGTTCAGAGGGGAAGGATGTACTAAGGTACAACGGAGACTTTTCTTTTGCATTCATGAAGCAAATGAAACCTGAACGGAGCACAACGCACTCAACTGTGAGACAACTGCAGAAGAAACTGCGAGTCGACAGGCTGTTTGACAACTGCAGGGGGATGAGTGAAAACGAGGAAGCGGAAATCTTCAAAGTGGTGGAAGGGTTGATTCAGGGTAAAATTATTGATTCTGTTAGCGGAGGAAGTTCCCCTTTGCGACCATTCGGCTATGAAGTACATATAGGAATCTTCCGATTCATCCGTCACAAGCTCCTGGCTCCTGGTCAATCCGTGGTACGAGTGGTGTTGAGCAACATGGTGGAGTTTGCCACAACCATTGCTCCCATCTTCCATGGCATCCTTCTAGTTTTAGGAATTCTTGCCATCAATGCATTTGGCATCCTTATCAACAATTACTCTGCCAACCTTAACAGACAATAGGCCTGCCTCACTAAGACATTGTAGTTTTAAACACCAGGGCTTGTCTCCTTTAACAAAGCTACTGTTGGTGGACCACTAATACTGATTAGGAACCTCAGGATTATCAGGATTCTCAGATGGCACTAATCATTCCATGGTCAGCAAGCCTTTATAGGCCCTCATAACTTATAACACCCCTATAAGGGCAAATTGCCAAAACTCAGATGCCAGTAGTGTAAACCACCAGAATTCCTTTCCATAGTAACATTAAAATTTGATCCTCAGTGAACCACCGGCTCAGGGATTTCTGTTCTCAGGCAAGCTAGCATAATCTTTCATGGAAATTAAAATCCTCATCCTCCCAACCGGTCCAGAACTTGAGAGTTTTGAGTTGAGAAACCGACCAAATTCCAAGAGAATCTTTAGTCAGTTTCCCCAGACAGCCTTTTTCGGGTGTGAAAAGGTAATTTTGCCACAGTCCCACACTCTTATTAAAGAGAAACAACTGGTGGTGAGTTTAGCCTGAGGGTCACTAAGCTTCAGGCAAGAGGCAAGGTTGAGAAGATGGAACTTTCTTGGGGACTTCAGCCCAGTACAAGAATTGAACCCACGCTGTTGGCATAATCACAAACCAACCATAGGCCAACTGAGCTAACCATAGACATCTGGGGGAATTCCAGGTGTCAGGCCAATTAACATCTGATCAAAGGATCTTTACCTGTATCTTCAGCATTAGATTGCCTTTTCACTGTGGACAATCTGCCAGTTTCTAGGGAGGGCTTTCCCTCCCAATGCAACACTGGGATTGTCATACCTTCTTGTGGCAAGTATTGTCAATAGTGACTATCTGTAAGTGTGGAACAAATACTTTCTGGACTGAAGTGAGTGGTAGTTTTGATGTTTTTGAAGGTACGACACTGATCCAGTTGTACAACAATCATTTAGAGTAGCTCACAGATAATGTTTGACCTGGGCATGTGTTCACTGGCTGTAGTCAATCCAATACCACATTTGAGGGGTTTCCATTCTCTTCTAGTCTACCAGAGATATTCAGTTCTTTGACATCCATCAATGTATCTGTGGTGAGAATCAGAATTATAATGGCTTCTTCCAGTTTAACTGTAGAGAATGCTGGTATTGTCATGAATATTAATATGGGGAAGGACAGCTACCTCCAACCCTCTCACCATTCTGACTTGGAAATGTATTACTGCTCCTTCAGTGTGTTTGGATAAAAATCCTAGAATACCCTCCCTAACAGCAACGTGGGTATTCCTACACCTTACTGACTTTCAGTGGTTCAATAAAAACAATTTGTCACCTGCTGTGGGGCTTGGGCAACAAATGCTGGTCTAACTATATCCTTTAAAAGAACCAAAACAAATTTGTGTACTGCTGGTGGAAGTAGAGGTCTTTAGGTCTTTTAAGGGGAGGTGATGGCCTAGTGGTATTATCGCTGGACTATTAATCCAGAGATTCAGGTAATATTCTGGGGACCCGGGTTTAAAAGCCAGTGTGGGAGATGGTGGAATTTGAATTCAATAAAAAATTTGGAATTAAGAGTCCAATGATGACCATTGTCAATTGTCGGGAAAAAAAAACCCCATCTGGTTCACTAATGTCCTTTATGGAAGGAAACTGCCATCCTTACCCAGTCTGGCCTACATGTGACTCCAGACCCAGATCACTGTTGCTGACTCTTAACTGCCCTGTGGGCAATTAGGGATAGGCAATAAATGCTGAACTAGCCAGTGATACCCACATCCTGTATATGAATGAAAAAGAATGTCTATCTGGAAAGAATAATCAGGATGGCGCTCATTTCTAGAAAAGACTAAAGGGTGGCCTGATGAAGATCTACAAGAAAGTGTTGGATAGTGCAGACACAAAGGTTTTCCCACTTACAGGTGAGACCAGAACTAGAGAGATAATCAGTTTTAAATCCAGTAGGGAATTCAGGAAAAGTCCTTTGACTAGTGAATGGTCACAGTTTGAAATACTCAATCACAAACAGTGATTAAAATGCATAAAATAGTTGTATCCAGAGATAAACTAGATTAGGTATAGGAAGGAGAAAGGAGTAGGAGGACACACTCATTCAATTGGATGAAGAGGGTGGAAAGAGGCATAGTATAGACTATTGGGCCAAATGGCCTGAAAAAGATGCATTCATTTTATTACATTATGGGATCTGAGCATTGCTGGCTGGGTCAGTATTTGTTGCCCATCTCTGACTGATTTTTGAAAAGGTGGCGGTGAGCTGCCATTTTGAACAGATGCAATCCAATACAGGGACATCCACAGTGTTGTTAGCGAGGATGTTCTAGGCAACAGTGAAGGAACAACAACATTGTTCCAATTTACGATGGTGTGTGGCTGTGAGGAAACTTGGTGACATCCCCATGCAAGTACTGCCCTTGTCCTTCTGGTAATCTCCATGTCTGTGGTAATATATAGGAATACAAGGAAATTGCAAGTTCAAATCAGGCCACTTGGCTTAATCAGTTGATACTGGAATTTACACTTCATGTGAGCTAAACACATCTCCACTCCCTGTTTCACAATTCGTCAACCCAGTCTATGTCATAGAGTTGTAGATGTATACAGCAGAGAAACAGGCCCTTGAGCCCAACTCATTCACGCCAACCAAATTTCATAAACTGAACTAGTCCCATTTGCCTCCATTCAGCCCATTATCCCTCTAAACTTTTCCTATCCATGTACTTATCCAAATGTCTTTTAAATGTTGTAATTGTACTCACCTCTACTACTTCCTCTGGCAGCTCATTCCATTTACCCAGTGTGTGAAAAAGTTGCCCCTCCAGTCCCTTTTAAATCTTGCCCCTGTCACCTTAAACATCTGCCCTCTAGTTTTAGACTCCCCTACCCTGGAGAAAAGATATTGGCTAGTCACCTTATCTATGTCTGTCATGATTTTGTGAACCTCTCTAAGGTCACCCATCATCCTCCAAGGCTCCAGGGAAAAAAAAAGTCCCAGCCTACCCACCCTCTCCTTATAGCTCAGACTTCTGTCACCTAGTAATCTTGAGTGTTGACATTGTTCCTGCCTAAACCACAAACACTGCAAATGAATTCTACACTTACCTTTATAAAAAAGGTTTCAGGGGCTGTCTTTGTGGTGCAGGAGTCCTGTGTTAGAGTCCCACCCACTCCAGTGGTGTGTAATAGAGTCTGAACATGTTGATTAGAAAAATAGATCTGCTCCTATGATGCTGCTTGGCCTGCTGTGTTCATCCAGCCCTGCACCTTGTTGTCTAGATTTCTCTTGCCGTCTGTTCTAAATTTGAAAGCTTTGGAGTGGGTGCAGAGGAGATTTATCAAACTGATTCCTGGGATGAGGATTTAGCTGCGGTACAGGGTGTGGCACGGTGGCTCAGTAGTTAGCACTGCTGCCTCACAGCGCCAGGAACTTGGATTTGATTTCACTCTCGAGCAACTGTCTGTGTGGAGTTTGCACATTCTCCCTGTGTCTGTGTGAGTTTCCACCGGTGCTCCGGTTTCCTCCCACAGTCCAAAGATGTGCAGGCTAGGTGGATTGGCCATGCTGCATTGCCCATAGTGTTCAGGGATGTGTAGATTAGGGGGGTTATAGGGGGATGGGTCTGGGTGGAATGTCTGAGGGTTGGTGTGGACTTGTTGGGCTGAAGGGCCTGTTTCCACACTGTAGGGATTCTATGATGAATACTAGAGGTCTACAAAAGTAGGAGAGGCATAGGTGGGGTCGATACTCAGAGGCTTTTTCACAGGGTAGAAAGGTCAACTACAAGAGGGCACAGGTTCAATGTGAGAGGGGTAAAGTTCAGTGAAGTGCGGGGAAAATTTTTCACAGTCAGGGTGATGAGTGCCATTGGAGATGGTGGAAGCAGAGATTTATAAGGAAGATTTTTCTATCTACTGAGTGAGTAGGCTTTGGAATGAGCTGCCTGGTGGAGCAATCGGTACAGATTCCATACTAACCCCCAAAAGTGAATTAGTTAAATAGTTGATGAAATACATTTCAGGGAAAGAACTAAGAATTGGGATTAACTGAATTGCTCTTTAAAAGAAATGACACAGACCTGATAGTCCAAATGACCTCCTCATGCAGTATTACTCAATGTTTCCATGAAATTTCTAGTCTTATATCAAAGGCCCCTCAATCTAGCCCGTCAACTCCCAGGAACAGTCTGTTTCTATACCCCATCATATTCTTTTGCAATTTTAATGAATCTGCCTTTATTGTCCTATAATGTGTGTTGTTTTAATGTAAAATGCCCCAATTTTTAGTGTCTTTATTTTCTCATCATGGACACAATTCTAGTGAATTATCCATTGTGACACCTCTAAAGTCTCAATATCTTTGCAATGCAGTGTGACGTCCAAAACTGAACGCAGTGCACTAAATGGAATCTTAATGAGTTTTAATGCAGGCTCCTCACCACCTCTTTGTTTCCACCTCTACTTTCTTTTTACTCAATCAAGGGATCTGGGCATCATGGGATATCAACATTCATTACCCATCTGCAATTGCCCTTCCAAAGGTGGTGGTGAGGTATCTTTCTTGAACTTTTGCAGCCATGTGATGTATGTAAGCCCATTGTTAGAGTTGTAGAGATGTACAGCATGGAAGCAGACCCTTTGCTCCAACTCATCCATGCTGACCAAATAGTCTGTATTAATCTAGTCCCTTTTGCCAGCATTTGGCCTGTATTCCTCCAAACCCATCCTATTCTTATCCCCATTCAGATATCTTTTAAATGTTGTAATTGTACCAGTCTCCACCCTTTCTTTTGGCAGCTCATTCCATTACATGCACCACTCTCTGAATGAAAAAGTTACCCATTAGGTTCCTATTAAATCTTTCCCCTCTCGTCTAGTTTTGGACTCCCCTATCTTGGGGTAAAGACCTTGGCCATTCACCCTATCCATGGTCCTCATGATTTTATAAACTTCTATAAGGTCACCCCTCATTTTGCGATGCTCCAGGGAGAATAGCAACAGCCTATTCAGCTTCTCCCTACAGGTCAAACCCTCCAAACCTGGCAACATCTTTGTAAACCTTTTCTGAGAACTTACAAGTTTCACAACATCTTTCCTAATAGCAGGGAGACCAGAATTGAACGCAGTATTCTAAAAGTGGTCTAACCAATGATATGTACAGCTGCAACATGACTTTCCACCTCCTGTACTCAATGCACTGACCAATAAAGGCAGTATACCAAACGTCTCTCCAATACCCTGTCTACCTTCGACTCTGATTTCAAGGAACTATGAACCTGCACTCCAAGGTCTCTTTGTTTGGCAACACTCCGCAGGACCTTATCATTAAGTGTATAGAAGGGAAGGGTTTTATAGCACATATCTAGAATTCCATGAGCTTCCCTTCTTAACATTCTTGCATTTCTGACATGTTAGCTCTGGTGTTATGAACCTATAACTCCGTACCTTGCAAGTTTCTACAAAGGCCCGCAACTCTGAGCCTGGTTCCATTCTAACTATCGTTGCTGCCGTTATTTTTACCAAAATGTATTCATAGGAAATAGGAGCAGGTGTAGGCGATACTGCCCATCACTCCTGTGCCATACAGCAGATCATGGCTGATCTTCTACCTGAACACCATATTCCCTCGCGGTCCCCAAAACCCTTGATATTTTTAATCTCTGGAAACCTATTGATCTCTGTCTTCAATAGCATCAATGATTGAGCAACCACAGCTGCCTTGAGTAGAAAATTCGCAAAATTCATGACCCTCTGAGTGAAAAAATTCCTCCTTTTCTTAGCTGTAAATGGCCTGACCCTTATTTTAGACTGTGACCCCTCAGCCAGACCCCTAAGTCACAGAAACAACGTTTTTGCATCTACCCTGTTGATCCCTGTAAGAATTTATATGTGCTTCAGGGAGATTGACTCTCATTCTTCGCAATTTTAGTGAATGTAATGTTATTTGTGTGATAATAGTTTCCAATTCCAAATTATCTGTACAATGCCTATGATATACATAACACACTATGTTGTACATATATGTTATTGATATTAAATTTCACCTGCTGCCTTCCAGCCTATTTCCCTCACATGGTATACGTGAGGCTGGTCACAAGGTGTACCTGCCTGCACAGATGTTACACCTTTTCAACTTCTTGGAACTGTTTCTGCTGGAAATATGCCATTGCTGATTCTTTGGCAGTCTCTCAGGGTCAAGGATGTCTTGCTTTCAAATTGATTTCAATGTGATGCAGTTGGTTCACAATGAACTTATTTCACAAACAGTATGAACAGCAGTGTGAGCAGAACCTCCACCCTGCACCCCCCAAAATGCCAAATACCTCAAAACAAAGCAGCCCATGACAAGGATATTATGAATCCATCAGTAGCTGGTGCAATGTGGTGTTATAGGAAGATTACGTTCAAAAGGAATGTATCACAGCTTGAAAAGGACCTAGTTGAAGGTCATTGTGTGATGGTGATGAGATCTAACACCACCAACACAGATGGAGCCTGAAAAAGGTTGTTGTAGAGCAACTCCTTTCATAACTCTTCTCTGTGTTTAATGTTTTAACTTAAAGATTTTTCTACAGTAGCCAATTTTTTTAACATGTTAAATAGACCCAGGTAGAGTTTCTGATTGCAATTAACTGTGTTTGTGAGTGTGTGAGGATACAAGTGTGTAGATGTGAGAATATGAGTATGTGAGGATATGAGTGTGTAAGTATACAAGGATGTGTGTGTGGGGATACCAGTGTGTAGTTGTGTGAGGATATGAGTGTGAGTGTGTGAGGATGTGAGTGTGTGGGGATACCAGTGGTGTGAGGATGTGAGTGTGTAGGTGTGTACACTTGGGATTATCATATCCCAGTGGTTTTATCTTAAAGGTTTTGTCGAAGAATGTCACGATTCCTTGTGAAAAACTGCTTGAGGAGATTTGATCCACTCAATTAAGTACAGCAAATTGACAAGTCTGATTGTGTAAAATTTTGTTTTTTGAGATATTGAGCAATATCTTAATTTATATTTGCCAGCTCATCTTTATTGAAATACTCCAGTGTCAAACAGAATAAGGCTCTTAACTGGCTTTAATACTAACATGTGAATTAACTTGTTTATCACAAATTATATTGTAATTGATGTGTGCAACAATGAAAAATAAATACAATAATTTTTGTTCCAAAGTCTAACCGTCTCCTGACTTTTGAGTTCTTTCTGGAACCTATACATCAACTGGAATACTTGAAGGATGTTCCCAATGATGAGGGAGACCAGAACCAGGGGTTACAGTCCAAGATACGGGTAGACCACTGAGGACTGAGATGGGAAATATTTCTTCACCCAGAGAGTGGTGAGCCTGTGACCTTCACTGCCACAGAAAACTGTCGAGGCCAAAACATTGAATGTTTTTCAAGAAGGAGATAGATATAATTCTTAGGGCTAAAGGCATCAACGAGGTATGAGGAGAAAGCAGGAATGTGGGACTGAGTTGGGTGATCAGCCGTGATCATACTGAATGGCCTATTCCTGCTCCAATTTTCTGTGTTTCAATGTTTTTGATTTTATTGTCTTTCCCTTTCTTAATTGGAATTCCTAAACCCTCACCATTGTAAGCTTCACTTCCAGGAATGCTAATGTCTTTTCTGTTAAACAAAAGCTTATATTTCTATGCTGCCCTTTATGAAATGGAATGTTCTGCAGTGCTTCACAGAGCCATTATAAAGCAAAGGATGACACAGAGCCTCATGAAGTGACAATGGATCAGGCAACCCAGTCAAGGGGTTGATTTTAAGAAGTGCCTTAAAGGAGAAATGTGACTTAGAGAGCTGGAGAAGTAGGAACATGGAAACAGGAGTAGGCCATTCAGCCCCTCAAGCCTGTTCCACCATTCAATGAGATCATGGCTGATCTGTGGACTAACTCCATAAACCTGCCTTTGGCCCATATCCATTGATACCTTTGCTTAACAAAAATGTATCTATCTCAGATTTACAATCATTAAATGATCCAACGTCCACTGCCATTTGTGGAAGAAAGTTCCAAACATCTATCTATGTGTGTAGACGTGCTTCCTAACATCTCTCCTGAATGGTCTGGCCCTAATTCTCAGCCCATAGTTCTAGAATTCCCAACCAGTGGAAATAGTTTTATCTACCCTGTGTCTTCCTGTTAATATCTTGAAGACTTCAATCAGCTCAACCCCTAACCTTCTAAATTCTGGAGAAACCAGGCCTAATTTGTATAATGTCTCCTCATAACTTAACCCGTGATGTCTAGATATTTTTCTTGCAACCTACTTTGTCTGCCCTCCAAGGCCTTTATTAATTTCTAAGGGAACAACAGAGCTTAGGTCACAGGCTACAGAAGGCAAGGCCAACAATAGTGGAGTGATTAAAGTTTGAGTAGTTGAAGAGGCCAAAATTTGAGAAGTGCTGATGTCTTGGAGAAATTATTGTGACTGGAAGTAAAAACGGGTAAGGCTATGGAGGGATTTTAAAACAATCATAGACAAGAATTATAGAATCCCTATAGTATGGAAGCAGGCCATTCAGTCTATTGAGTTCACACCTACCCTCTGAGGAGCATCCTAACCAGACGCATCCTATCCCTTTAATCATGCATTTTCCATGGCCAATCCACCTAATCTGCACATCTTTGGACAAGGATGAAAATTTTAAAATTAAGATGTTGCTTGACCAGGAACCAGCGCAGGTCAGTGAGCACAGGATTGCTCGGGGAATACGAACACACGAGTTCAGAGCAGGAGTAGGCTGGGCATATCAAGTCTGCTCTATCATTCAACAGGATCATGACTGATCTGATTTCTCCATGTTCCTGTCCAGCCTTGTTAATCTTTCCCCCACTTTGGCTTACCAAGAATTATTCCACCTCTTGAAAAATTTTTCAAAGATGCTGCTGCCACTCTCAGGAAGATTTAAGACCAACTGTGAGCAATGAATTTTTTTCTTATCTCTGTCTTAAAGGGGTGACCATTTATTTTAAACAGTGACCCCTAATGTTCTAGATTCTCCTGCAAGAACAAATATCATTTCCACATGCACTCTGTCAAGACACCTCAGGATCTTATGTTTCAATCAACTTGTCTCTCACTCTGCTATGTTCCAGCTGATACAAGCATTTCCTTCCCAACCTTTTCCAGGTAAACCTTCTATGAACTGTTTGCAAAATATTTCCATAATTCCTTCAGTAAGGAAACCAATATTGTACACAGTACTTCAGATGTGGTTTCACTCATATTGTGCAAACTGTAGGATAACCTACAACTGTGGAAAAAGGTAGACATATGTTTTCTTTGAGAAGTTAAAACTCTCTTTGTCCCTCGGGGGATGCAGTCAAGATTGTGGGAAGACTTTTGTATTCGAATCGGTAGGGCAATACAATACTTTTCCAATCTCCTTGCAATAAGTAATACCCGGGTGATGAACAACGTAGTATTTCGATTATGCAATAATTTTAGAATTTTGTGTTCATTAAGACCAAAATTTTCGGACCTCATACTGCCCAAACTGCAAGTAAATGTTGCTTACCTGCTGAGACTAAATAGTTAAATCAATCAGGCTACTGGAATTTGCAGCCTAAAAAAAAGCTTAAGCTTGTCAGGACAGAGAGTATTGACTTGTTAGCAGGAATCAGCTTGTCTGTTCGTTTGGAGAGTTTACACTACACCTTTGTGTTAAAGTCACACACAAGGCTTTGCATAGTTCTCTCCCCAGTGTGATAAATGTTAGCACCAGCAAATACAACAAATATACCATTTAATTAGATTCGTTTTCTGACAGATCGGTTATTTAATCAATAGAGTAAGACATTTAAGAAATAAAATCTAAATCTAATGGAGAAACTCAGTCGGCTTGACAGCATTTATGAAGAGAGAAATGGTGTTAATGTTTTAAGTCCAGTGTGATTCTTCTTTGGAACTGTTTCAAAGACCCTAATACCAACTCTGTTTCTGTCCGCGCAGATGCTGCCAGACCTGGTGAGTTTCTCCAGCACTTTCTGTTTTAATTTCAGATTTCCAGCACCTGCAGTATTTTGCTTTCATGACATATTGAAGAAATTTTGCTTGTTACCTTCACTAACAAACGAACGGGAAACAACAGTAGGCTGTGTGGGCCTTACAGACTGCCCTGCCATTCAATAAGATCGCAATTGATCTGATTTTAATCTCAACCATACCTTCCTGCATAACCTTGATCATCTCTCTTCCCCTTGGTCATCAAGAATACTTCTTGTTTTAGCACGGTGGATATCACTTTGTCCTGGTAGAGCTTGAGAAGGCTAATTAGTCAAGTTTATAATAAGAATGAGCACGTTTATTGGAGTATCATATATACTTCTAATTCAGTTACCATCTCGAGATAAAACTGAGTGTGAAGAATGATATACATTTTTCAGTGAGTGAAGTCAGAAGTTACACAACACCAGGTTATAGTCCAGGTTATAGCGACTTCACCTGACGAAGGAGCACTGCTCCTAAAGCTTGTGATTTCAAATAAACCTGTTGGACTATAACCTGGTGTCATGTGACTTCTGACTTTGTCCACCCCAGTCCAACACCTCCATTTCAATGAGTGAGCCTGAAGGTGGGGAGAGAAAGCTAGTGACCTCACTCTGACCAATTGAAACAAATAATACAAGCCATGTCCAAATTTGACACAAGGACTTTCAGAATGGGGGATTAAGATTGAAAGCTTCAAGCCTATCAGGGCACTGCCACATCATCATACTTGTGGTGATATCTCTCCAGAAGCCATGGTATAATCCAGGATGAAGAGAAAGTCTTTGATTGTGCATTTAGCACTCAGAGCATCTGTGAACATTGAGGGCTAATCCATGCGGTCTTCACTGACTTTGGTTAAGTATAATTCCTCATCTCATTTTATAAATTCCACTTTGACTCACTGTGGCTATTAAGTATCTTGTATTTGCAACTTGTGTAAATTGTGAAGTTGTGATGCAAAGTGAAATTGACTAAAGGCGTCAGCAGAACTAAATTTTAATTGGATTCAAATTCCTATGTTAGTTCTTGGTTTAAGATATGAACCACAGAGTTTTGGATCAAGTTTACAAAGGAGAGAATGGGAAACCAGGCAGAGGTGCATTGCAGTAATCAAGGAGTAACAGAGCAAGGAATTCAATATCAGATGAGCTGAAACAACAATGAAATCAGATAATATTACTGAGTTGTAATAATGACATTTGTGCTGGTGCTAACGTAACACCAGATATTCAAACTTTGGGTCAAATATGACACCAGAATTGCTCATACAATTTATTCTCAATAACATTCATTTTGTTAAAACATGTAACTTCATCCAAGACTTGAACATTGCTTCCAAATCAGGGATAGATTTGGCATAAAGGACCGTGAGTTGTAGGAAAAGAATGGATGCTCACAGGTTGGTCACAATACGCTTCATAGCTGACACACAATTTTCCTTCAATCTGCTGGATTTCTCCCCATGTGAAGGACAAAGTTCTGTGCACAATATCCTGTCCTCCTCATTTGCAACTTCTCAGGAATTGTATATGACAAATTCAATTATGGAATGCTGATGACTGTTCTATGTTCGTTTGCATTGAGGATTGGTTAGCTACCAGGGCATAGAGAGTAGGGATAAATGTGCCATTTATGGGTCGCAAACTATAACTAGTGGACTGGCACAGGAAGCAGTGGTAGGGCCTTAACTATTTGCAATCCATATCAACGGCTTGGAGGAAGGGACCAAATGTATGTACATTTTCTGATGATACAAAATCAAGTAGGAAAGGACGTTTTCAGGAGACATCAATTCCCCTAATAAGAATAGAAATAGAATACGGAGAACAGAAAAGCAATTTACCACTTTAATAAAGAGTGACTGAACTCTACTGTACAGAGGAAATCCTGGTACACAAGTTATAAAAATTCTTGCATGCATTTAAGGTGAGATGGGGAAAGTTCGAAGGAGATGCAAGGGTCAAGTTTTTTTTACTCAGAGAGTGGTAGGAGTCTGGGACTTGCTGCCAGGTGTGGTGCTGGAGGCAGACATGATAGGGTTGTTTAAGGGACTTTTAGATAAGCATATGAATATGCAAGGAATGAAGGGATTAGTTTAATTTGGCATCATGTTCGGCACAATTATTGTGGGCCGAAGGGCCTGTTCCCATGCTGCACCACTCTATG